CGACGAGCTGATCACCCACCCAAGGAGTCCTACCGATTGTGTAAGATCTAGAAAACCCGAAGTGAACGGAGAAGTTCATGGAGGTAGGCCTAGGCCCACTGGGGCTGTAGTGCCAAGGAAGAAAAAAATCCTTCTAGCCGCACTATGGCTCTGAGGCCGACTCAGCCTCTAACAGATATGAGTAACAAAGAATCTTTCGGGGGGGGGGTAAACGCAGCCGGCGCTGAAGGCTGACAAACTCACCGCCATCTGTGAGCCGATTGTCTAGAAATAATGTGGGAGCCTCGGCGTCTCATAACCCTACGGGACTTCACGCCCTGTTACAGGGATAGCTTTACTTTTACCTTTACCGTTGTCTTCAAATCTGCTTCAACTGAACCCAGTCACCTGATATCAGTTCTGTCTACTCGCCGAGTGCCCTCTGGTTTATGTAGAGTTGACTTGCCGGAAGAATTCTGCTCCTGTATTCTAAAAAATTGTCCCATCTATTTCAACCGCCCCACTTTGATCACTTCCACTACAAACCGTTCATTACGTAATTTATGAAGTTCATTAAATATCCTGATATCGTACACAAGTCCGAATTTTAAAATTCTCTAAAGGTTTTTTTTTCTCCCCCAGTGGCCCTGTGTTTAGGTAGAGGCCTTGCGACGGGCTTCTCACTCTTCCAAGTAGGTCTGCCTCTGTGAGAAATGATTACGGAATTGAATGAGAGATCTGCACACGAATGGTTTGGAAGGACCGTAGAAAAAAAATGTTACGCCACAGTCATGCTAGGCGTCCCAGTGGTACACACACACACACACGCTGTTTACAGACACTGCAATGTCGGACATACATGCATTTGCTATGTAAACAGTTACACCATGAAATGTGCAATATCTAACATCAGACATTCGACATTTAATTCAAACATGCTGAGACAGTGAAGGATATCAGAGTTCAGATGGCTGATACGCTCGTGTGAATGAAATTGCGTTGTACCATGTTTTAACCGCCGACGGAACCCGCGACCCTCACCGTGCTACTGGAAGCGGATGTCGCCCTTTTTAACGGTGATACTTGATGATGCTTCAGCCGAGGATGAGCCGTATATCTCAGAGTGTGACGTGTACCATCTTACTGTATATTGTAGGAAGAGAGGAGATGCTGGTTCGGTGCTGTAATTGCTCAGTAGATAACAGTCTTTGGTACTTGAATGACTTACTGTTGAGGTTACAGTCTTCTGCTGCAGAGTGGCTTTCATTTCATTTGATGTCCCTCCACAAGACACTCTCGCTGTTACAAGCCTTGCTATTTCTGTACTCAGCGCTCCAACCTGCTCCGGTGTCTCTACTCGAGTGGTTCTTTCGTGGCTTGTCGAATCCCACGAAGTACTTACTATATTTCAGTTGGCTAGGCTAATTACTCCGATGACAGTGGCCGTGCGTCTAGAGCATGCACTGTCTTCGCTTACTCGAATCCCGAGGTCATAGATTCGAATCCCACTCGGGGCATGGATGTCTGTATGCGTTTATTCTGTGTTTCTGTTATTCTGCGTGTAGATAGCGGCCTTGCGATGGGCTGATCCCCCGTCCGAGGAGTCCTATCGACTAATGGGCTGTAGATAGATAGATAGACAGACTGAATTACTGTTCCTTTCAACGCCGTAATTAACTCTGCCTTCTTGCTACCGTTTAATGTGCATAGTAGCATCCAACCACGCTAATCTGCTAACCCAGCTCTTACCGTTATGAAACCGGGATACCAACCGCGGCCACATGACATGTACGTGTATCTCGTTCTGACCGAGCGCAATATTAGCATGTGAGATGTGTAACAACATATATATGAAATGACTTGTATACAGAGAGTAACACACACGCAGGGACAGTATGAAGTGTCTCGTTGTTGATGCTTAGGAACTACGTCAAGTATTCCTCGAATGACAGTGACCAGCATAAATTGCTGTGTGTGTTTATCAATGTTACCTCAGAACTGGACAATGACCAGCAGTCTATCAATGTTACTTCAGAACTGGACAGTGACCAGCGGTCTATCAATGTTACCTCAGAACTGGACAATGACCAGCAGTCTATCAATGTTACTTCAGAACTGGACAGTGACCAGCGGTCTATCAATGTTACTTCAGAACTGGACAATGACCAGCGGTCTATCAATGTTACCTCAGAACGGGACAATGACCAGCGGTCTATCAATGTTACCTCAGAACGGGACAATGACCAGCAGTCTATCAGTGTTACCTCAGAACTGGACAATGACCAGCAGTCTGTCAGTGTTACCTCAGAACTGGACAATGACCATCAGTCTATCAATGTTACCTCAGAACTGGACAGTGACCAGCGGTCTATCAGTGTTACCTCAGAACTGGACAATGACCAGCAGTCTGTCAGTGTTACCTCAGAACTGGACAATGACCATCAGTCTATCAATGTTACCTCAGAACTGGACAGTGACCAGCGGTCTATCAGTGTTACCTCAGAACTGGACAATGACCAGCAGTCTGTCAGTGTTACCTCAGAACTGGACAATGACCATCAGTCTATCAATGTTACCTCAGAACTGGACAGTGACCAGCGGTCTATCAGTGTTACCTCAGAACTGGACAATGACCAGCAGTCTGTCAGTGTTACCTCAGAACTGGACAATGACCATCAGTCTATCAATGTTACCTCAGAACTGGACAGTGACCAGCGGTCTATCAGTGTTACCTCAGAACTGGACAATGACCAGCAGTCTGTCAGTGTTACCTCAGAACTGGACAATGACCATCAGTCTATCAATGTTACCTCAGAACTGGACAGTGACCAGCGGTCTATCAGTGTTACCTCAGAACTGGACAATGACCAGCAGTCTGTCAGTGTTACCTCAGAACTGGACAATGACCATCAGTCTATCAATGTTACCTCAGAACTGGACAGTGACCAGCGGTCTATCAGTGTTACCTCAGAACTGGACAATGACCAGCAGTCTGTCAGTGTTACCTCAGAACTGGACAATGACCATCAGTCTATCAATGTTACCTCAGAACTGGACAGTGACCAGCGGTCTATCAGTGTTACCTCAGAACTGGACAATGACCAGCAGTCTGTCAGTGTTACCTCAGAACTGGACAATGACCATCAGTCTATCAATGTTACCTCAGAACTGGACAGTGACCAGCGGTCTATCAGTGTTACCTCAGAACTGGACAATGACCAGCAGTCTGTCAGTGTTACCTCAGAACTGGACAATGACCATCAGTCTATCAATGTTACCTCAGAACTGGACAGTGACCAGCGGTCTATCAGTGTTACCTCAGAACTGGACAATGACCAGCAGTCTGTCAGTGTTACCTCAGAACTGGACAATGACCATCAGTCTATCAATGTTACCTCAGAACTGGACAGTGACCAGCGGTCTATCAGTGTTACCTCAGAACTGGACAATGACCAGCAGTCTGTCAGTGTTACCTCAGAACTGGACAATGACCATCAGTCTATCAATGTTACCTCAGAACTGGACAGTGACCAGCGGTCTATCAGTGTTACCTCAGAACTGGACAATGACCAGCAGTCTGTCAGTGTTACCTCAGAACTGGACAATGACCATCAGTCTATCAATGTTACCTCAGAACTGGACAGTGACCAGCGGTCTATCAGTGTTACCTCAGAACTGGACAATGACCAGCAGTCTGTCAGTGTTACCTCAGAACTGGACAATGACCAGCAGTCTGTCAGTGTTACCTCAGAACTGGACAATGACCAGCAGTCTATCAATGTTACCTCAGAACTGGACAGTGACCAGCAGTCTATCAATGTTACCTCAGAACTGGACAATGACCAGCAGTCTGTCAGTGTTACCTCAGAACTGGACAATGACCAGCAGTCTATCAGTGTTACCTCAGAACGGGACAATGACGAGCAGTCTATCAGTGTTACCTCAGAACGAGACAATGACCAGCAGTCTATCAGTGTTACCTCAGAACGGGACAATGACGAGCAGTCTATCAGTGTTACCTCAGAACTGGACAATGACCATCAGTCTATCAGTGTTACCTCAGAACTGGACAATGACCATCAGTCTATCAATGTTACCTCAGAACAGGACAATGGCCATCAGTCTATCAATACGTAACAAAGATTAAGCAACGTGTAAGACCAGTAGTTCCCAAACTATGCTTTGGCGGAACATTAATGTTCTGGGACTGAAGCGATGTGTTCCGCCACTGAAATAGAGCGATTACGGCCTATTTTCAGTTTCTCAGAGTACAAGCAAGCTGATGGATATAATTTTCTGAATCTTACTTTTGTCTTACAATCTTTAATGTTCATATAAATGTTATATTTTATTTACTTCTTGTTTCTGCTAGAAATCAATAAATATTAATTTTGATATTTTTATTATTACACTTGTTGAAATGCGCAGACCATGACATAATATGATTTTTTTTAATTCGCTTAGTGGGGGGTGAAGTTCAACTGGGTCCACTCGGCACGGCGGCCACTAATTGGCCTATTGTAGCCTACCCCGGGTGATTATGATGATGGAGAGTTTGGTGGCATGAAGATTGACAGGGGAAACCGAAATACTCGGAGAAAACTCGCCCCAGCGCCAATTTGTCTACCACAAATCCCACTTGATCAGACCCGAGATCGAACCCTGGCCGACGCGATGGGAAGCCAGCGACTAACCGCTTTAGCTCTCGCGCCGCTCATGATATAATATGAATCTGCTGCCACAAATGGTGTATCTAGTTCAGTACGTTCCACAGAGAGCAACATGGCGTCCGGTGCTGCGCGCACTGAATAAGCATGGGAGCCAGTTCCTCATAATGTGCAATGCGAATGTACGTTTGTATACCATATTAATAAGACACATCAGACAGTGAAGAGTGTTCTGGTGTTTGTGTTTTACATGTTCCTTGTATCAGACTTCGGTCAGTGGCCATAGTCCAACAACATTCTTGTTCAGCGCTATTCCTTTGTTTCCTAACGAATATGTTCGGTTTTTTTTTTCAGTTCGCCCGTGACTCCATGGGAAAGAGGAGCCGCGACGACGATCTTGCAGTCTGCGACGACGGTGGTGCTATCTGTCTTTGTGGTCTCTACACTGATGTGAAGCGTAATGATCGCCAATTGGGTCTTTTTAATGTGAGAAAGGAGATGGAACGTACGTAAGACATGCCAGCTGGGAGACTGATCGTTTGGACATGCTCGTAGCGACTCGAACTCGTGTCTTTGTCGTTAACAAAGCTTCCCCCATCGTTACTGTTCGCAGCACTTCATAGGTTTTAGAATAAACGTATTTCTAGTTTGTGCTAAAATGAACGCCAAATTCAAGCCCTCTTTTAATTTTTCCCCAAATTCAATTTATATTGACAATCTGGAAAATGAAGTCCATGGTGATTGATCGTTAAATCTGGAACTATATCGGCGATTTTACTTCGGGGAGGAGGCGGTTAAAAGTAAAAAGAAATCAATCTGAACATTAAGATATGCAACCGAAGTTGCACGCAGTTGACGTAATATTGTCAGTTTATCTCCCTTCTAATTCCATTTTATCAGAATAAATCAATTTTACATACAATCAAGCGTTTGTAATTATCTGGAAATAATAATTAAACGGACGTGAAGAATAATTTTGTTGCGGAAGGGAACAACTGAGTAATGTGTTTTTACCTACTTTGATTTTATGTTCATTTTAGAAGTTTTATTTGAATTGCTTTTGTTATTCATATCTTCACGACTCACGCAACTTCACCGGCCTCCATATCTTATTTATGCTTAGCCATAATTTTATTCTTACTATTCTCCTATTAGTTGTGTAGTTTGATGCTGTCTCCACCTGCCCTCGCTCATTCTGCAGTCTTTCCATCTCTTCCTACATGCGGTAATCTTTTCTGATTCATTGCCGACCTTAAGTAGCAGGCTCTGTCGCGCTGTGGGTCTTACAATGTTCTGCTTTGTTGCATATCTGTTGGACTTCCTCTCTGCCATCTCCTGCCCATGTCTCATACCGCTCTTTACCAGCGTTCTGAATGCCCCAGAAGTCTAGGTCCATAGGTGACCTCAGTTATTTGGTCAAATACGGAAAAGTTTTGGGATACATGTACTTGTAATTTGAGAACTGTACTAGGTGGCGTTATTTTGAGACTTGCCTGCGAAACATTCAAATTATACGTGTAGGCAGCAGAAATGTATGTAGGATATGAGGTTCGCACTGAGGTGACTGCGAAGTGTGTGGTGGGTAATAACGTCGTGTAGTTCGGAGAAGCGGGCCTTTTCAAAGTAACATCCCCTCCCCTTCAGGTTCAAAGAATAAGCAAAGAAAAAAAACAGCCTGTCGACTCTGAAGATGGAGGGGACATGTTCCTTCGAAACGTCTGGTTGTCTCCGAACTGTAGGATGTTAACAACGCAGAAGACCACACACTTTAACAGAATTACATGCTTGGCATTTTCCCCCTTTGATCACAATAATATTAATGTGTAGCTTCACAAGCAAAGTAACTGAGTATATGGCACAGCAGAAATTCAACATAATAATAGAGTTTTTGTGACTCTGTGATTTAAATTGTAATGAAACAGTGGCTGTTTTCGACTCGCGGAATTTACGTTGGCAGAAATAAGTAACTGAGAGTTACAGGCACCGATTTCTGTCTCCGGAGGTTTGCCCAGGTGAAATTGTTTTGTTTAACCGTTACAACAATGTAACAGCAGATTTGCTGTGGCCAGAAGCTCGTTGGGGTTTTTCTCTTGGGTGCCCCATCGCATCCAGACCAAGTCTGAGGCCATCCAGTTCACGGGGCGGGGCGGGGGTTGCGAATATAGACACTTAATCGTCCTCTGACGGGTTCATGCTGGGCATGATTTATTTGTCGGGTAAGTTCTCCATTTTGCGAAATTTAAACAATTTACTTTTCATCACTAGCTCCCTAACACAGCCATAGTCAATTAGAAATGAAAATTTCCAGCAAAAATACTATATTCTAGGAAGTGACATTGTATAGGCCGGTAGATTTCAACTGACGTTTCGGAGGAACCTGCTGCTTCCATATTCAGGATTGAAGATTGAGCCAAGCGACTAGCAACAACGAAAAAACGAACAGAGTTCTGCGTGCTACCAGTTTCTTATTTCTTATTTACTGTCCATGTCTGGTGTACTGAAGATTAAGGCAGTACGTCCCTCCGAAACAACGCTGAACTTCTACACTGTGTAACATCGCAGAAGGTTGTACCCATCATAGTCACTGTTGCAAGAACCCCAAATCCGAAAATGTTCGTGATGATATATCAACGCAAAGCCCTTAAAATTTTGCATAACTTACAAAATGTTAACTGACTGCAGTTTATGTGATGGGAACAGAACAAGGGTCTGTTGGGAGAGAGAACGTGGACATTATTTCTTTAAGAAGACCGACGTTTCGATAATAATATAGTGATTATAATAATTTACTTTACAATTTAGAGTTCCAGTTCTTACATTTGCACACAAAATTGTAGGAGTGCTGATGTTTCGAATTATGAGGAGGCAAAATTCATAAGTTGCCGTACTGTAATTGTGTTTAAAATGTAGCTACTCCACTTATCTTTACGTTTAGTATGTCTGTATTAGGTGGTTGAATTATAAACAACATATATATATATATATGTTGTGGCTGAGCTCGGAAGTGTGAGGGAACTTGCGTAGCCTCATGTAACGTACTTTAACAGGCGTAGCAGTCCACACGTAACTGGATTCCGTGTACTCAGTGTGATATACATGTAAATGTTCTCAACAGAAATGTACACAGAATAATACAAACTTTCTATATAACGGTGTTTTGTATGTATATACACGTAATATTATATTTACGCGATGGGGGGGGGGAGTTGAATAAATTATATATTTTAAGGATATCGTCAGAATTCATTTAATCAAAATCTGATCAGCCGAACCACCAAATACTTAAACTCAAAGCCATGAATTCATTAACTCTTTTTATGTGTATCATTAAAATCTGTTAGGACTGTAAGTTGTAACTTGTAAGTGTATGTATTAATTGCTCTTTATTTTCAAACAGAACATTTCACAATGAAACTTCAGGAGGTAATTTATCTTCACTGTGCTTAGTACTGACAGAAATATTTTCCTTCTATTCCTCCTCCTCCCCCCATTTTCTGTCCCTCCCTCCTTCCCTCCCGTTTTCTGTGTTCTTTCTTGGTTTTATTTTATTTTCCCTGCTCCCTTCTTTCCAGCCTTACTTCCTCTTTTTCTTTCTCTTGGTTTCGGAAGTGTGCTGTGTTTGATTTGCCGCTGCAACTGACAACTGAATGAAGACATTGAAGAGTTGGTCATACTGTCCGCCTATAAGTAGAAGACTGTACAGAAACATCCGAATGTTGGCAGCAGCTGCCTGTCTGTTCACGAAGTCATTAAATCCCTTTCCGTTTTAAACTAATGCTTCACTGTGAACAAAATTACTTAAGCGAATCTTCAACTTCGTACCTCTGTTTTGGAATGGGAGCGCCGAAGATATTTGAAATGAAAATATCTATGTGTATGTATATAAGCGTATATGTATGTGTACATATTTATTATTTATTTTACATCTATATTTAATTGAGTTTGCACATAATAAATTCACATACACACATAGAAACCGAAGATAAATTTCTCACGACATAAGACCAAGATCTCCTCAGCTGGATATAGTAATAGAGCACATAATATCGTTAAGAAAATATTTTTAATAAGTTAAAATGTTATCTCCACCCGATAAATCAGTCATCAAGTGTCGCTGGATTTGAGGTTCTCGAAGCAACCTCTACGACGAATACTATTCTCCGGCATGTAACGCCGTGTAGTCCGATATAAGATCGCGAACCTTTCGAAGGAGCATACGTTCTCCACCTTGAAGCCCGAAGACGTGATAATGTGTGAGCAAGAGCAAGCGGCAAACAGCAAGCTGACTGAGCAAAACATGGCTAGAGATGGCCAACAGGTGCAAGGAAATGACTAAAGAACGAAGCGTGCCGTGCGCACGCGCGCTATTGTTAATGAAATTAAATCGTCTTAGGAAGCAACTTCTTCATTTATGAATTACCGGAAAGGGCATGGCGGAAAGAATATATACATGGCACTCGGGTATTTCTAAATAAATCCTGACGTGTTTAATACTTTTCAAGATTTATCGAAGAGAAAGGCTGGCTCCTTTTGCTATGAACACATTATGTGATTTATAGTATTATAAAAAATAAACTCTTCTGACAACTCTTTGACATTCCATGATAATAATTTGTGATTTATGTTACATTATAACGGAAGTGCACACGTATAAACATGTGGAGGTCTCTCTTTCATAAATCAGTCTTAGCTCAGAAAGAGAAAGTATAAAGGACGCAGAAACAAGTCTATTCTTATAATTCGGTTATGTATTTTTTATCACGGCATATCGACGTCTATTTTAATAATGAGGCAGAATCAAAAGCGAGAGAAGCCTCTGAACAGTTTCCAATGCCTTTTTTTCGGATTTATTTAGGCTGATTTATTAGCTAAAACGTTAAATTGGTTTGTATTGTTATATAAATCAGTTGTAATAAATATTATTAAGTTTTCATCCAATTAAAATTGTAATGTGAACATAACACCATCATATGGTTGTGAGGACGTCAGATGGTAGTGCTTTCGAACTGTGCTGTATTTATTCTCTGATGTAGCGAACTTGTTAAATGAATCTGTGTAAGTGTAATATTCTTAACTTCAAAAAATCTAAAAGATATGTAAATAAATGTAGTAAGTTGATTACAAACATTCGGGATAATTTCATTTTCCCCAAACACGTGTGTGTTTAGTTCCTGGTTGAAGTTCCTTCCTGGACTACACGTGCCACACTCCCAATTATTCTCATTTTGTTGCTTTGTTTAAATTGTTTCAGATTTTGAGAGCACTGTTTTATTCCTCTGAATTTCTCGCGGATGGCGTTGCGTGATAACCAACTTCGGCGCATGCTCTAAATGTTGCATATCAATATAATATGGTTTTAGTTCTGAAGGTAGCCATCAGGCAACGTTGGCGCTACTGCAGTGTGACGTCACATCAACCTACAGATGATGAACAATCGATAAGTAATTGTTCTTTTTATAACTTTAAGAAGTAATATTAATTTCCTCTGAAACAATAGAATATTGTAGACTTAATACCTTAATAACAGTAGAACATAAACACATTTTCTTTAATTTAAATATAAGGTAAAATGTGTGATTCTCTGAAGAACTTGTTTGAAAACTAGTATAAACCAAAGGCTTGAACAGAGCCGGAAACCCAATTGAGCACGAAAACACAGTTTTGCAGACTGCAAATAATTGCCATCAATTTACAGGTTTATGACTTCAAAATTGTGCTTCTTTTGTTATCTTGACACCCATGTTATATTGTTTTGGGGTTTAGTTACCGACTGATTCTGTTGATTTTTTGTTTGGCTTACTCTGCGACTGTGAAGATTGAGGCGACATGTTCCTCCGAAACGTGGAGCTCTCTCTTTCTTTTATATATTTTTATTGGTGATGTGACTGTCCTCATACCAGAGCATTCCGAACTTTGTTCTTGGAGAGCCAGACCAGTGGTAAAAAAGTTGCAAGTATATGATGCAATAGATTCGCTACTTGTCTATAGCAAATGCGTTTCTTCAGTTCAGTAATATCCGTTTGTATATGAAGGGATTTAGTCATTCATAATTCATCAATTGTTTTATTGCTCAGAGTTGTCCAGTACATGTCAATAAAGGGATTTTTGATTGATGTAAATGAAATACTTATAAGGTAGGTATTTAACTTTTAGAGGAACTCTGACATTGCTGAGAAATTTTCTCCTTCTGACAGATACAAAACAAGTGATACGGTTTAAGCCACTAAGTTTGGAGGTTTCCGCGGTGGTGAAGACCGATATTTTGAACTTGTAACTAATGACACCGTGTAGTCTAGCAGATTGTTATCAACGTTTCAGAAAAATATACTACCTCAATCGTGGTGGTTACATAACCATCCACTTTCCCAGCTTGCGCACTTCTGTTCTGTAGAAGGAGGTAATATATTCCTCCTAAGTGTTGGTCCCTACTTATGAGGCTACGCAGCGTCCGTAGTACTGATTGAAGTCAGTCCACATACACCCGCTTACGTACACCAAAGCCGGAGGAAGTTCCCCTGTGATGTCAGGGTTTCATAACTATTTCTTATTGCATGTGATTCGGTGTGATTGATCCTGGGAGTTGGAAAAATTGTGGAGCTCGAATGGTAGTTGCTCTTCTTACCAATTGAACTACCGCTTCCACAAACTCTGTCGTCATTGTGCTTCCAGGTAGTCTCAACCAACCTGGCAGCACAATACGCAAGGTTCCATCGGCAGCATACAGTAAGTAACAGCTAACGCCATCTCTTTACTATTTTTATAAACTCCTACTTGTGGCGCTATGTCAGTAATTGTGTGCGAGAGAGCGTCACAAGATCGTTTGTGTACGAATGGGGTACAGTTCATGTGAAAAACTACGTGTCATTAACTTGTTTCGTTTACTTCATTTTTCAGGTGTCAGTAATTTAACTTCATTACTATGACAGACTGACTAGAAGCAAAACTAATATTATGAGCTTATAATATACAGAATTCAACCCATCTCAAGTTTGTAACTTACGCAAGTAATGATTATAAGAGAGAGTCAATCAGTATGTAAATGAATCGATAAACCAGTCAGGCAGTCTGCTAGTTGACAAATGGCCCATCGATCAGTCAACCATTAGGTAGGCCGCACACCGGCATGCGTCAAGACATGTAACAGTCAAGACACGATGTCTGCGACATGACGCAAAGAAAGGAGCACAGTTGAAACGAACGAGGTTATGAAAACCACTGCACACCTGTCTGAGTCATGATGCTGACGAATCACGAATGAAGCAAGACTGCGTATTTTGTCTCATGCCTTGATGCTTGTCTTGACGCAGTTGGTGTGCGGCCGCCCAAGTTATCAGTCACTCAGTGCGTCAATCAGCGAACCAGTGAACCATTCAGTCAACCAGTGAGCTAGAGAATTGATTACTCAGTAAGCCAGACACTAATTCTCTTTTTAATTTTGTGAGAAACGTAGAAACGTACTGCAAGGGTACAACTCGGGAATGAGACAATGTTGAAACGTAATGACTGCCTCTTAACGTAAGAATGATCGTGTTGAGAGTGTAACTTCTAATATTTTACTTGTGTAATTCCAAGAACACAGTCTCAGTAGCTACAGCACTGGAAGAGCTCTAGATATGCTGAAGAGAAGGGCTCTTCTGCATACCAAACTTTCTTCTTGTGTTGACGAATATTGAGATTAATATGTTGTAATCACTGCCTGTTAAGCAACATTACATGATTCAAGTGTTGACTCTAATGATATGCACTTAAAAGGAATGCTTTTATCCCACTTTCTGAGTTATAATTATTAATGAAACTAACAGAAGGTCGCGGGTTCAAGTCCCGATGAGGTCATTGGATTTTTTTTCGTCGACCTAATCCTTCCAGCCGCACTAGGCCCTGAGGTTTACTCAGTCTCTAACAGAAATGAGTACCAGGAATTAATTAAATAATTTTCATGGGGAGTAAAGCGCGGCCGGCGCGTAAGGCTGACTAACTTACCGCCATCTATGAGCCGATTATGTAGATAATGTGGGACCCTCAACGTCTCACAACCCTATGGGCCTTCACGGCCTGTTACAGGGATATCTTTACTTTTTTACTTTAACGGATATATTATTGTGAATAGGCGTACAATCATCTTCTTCTTACGTGTTGGGAATTTATCAGTTAATTCACACTTTCGTATGATTCATGATATTCAAAGAGCCTATACTCGTGTTTAAACTGTGCGTACAAGGAAAGTCAGTCTTCACATTGAGACGGAGAACACTGCACTTACAAGAATCACCTGCTTTTCTTAAGTTGTTCTGCTTTTCAATGTAGATGTTTGTATCTTTCGTCGATTTGTCTGCTGCTTCGTAAGCTTGTGTAATGTTGGTATTCTTGATTGATAGAGACGTTCGTGTGCCGCGTGAGGCATAGGTGGACACGCAGAAACTTAGCACCTGAAAGAAGCAAGTTGACTAAATTACGATGCTAAGAACGGTGAGATTAGCGGTACATATAGCACGCATATGAGAATAAGAAACGCACAGAAACTTGATAGGAAAATTTGTGGGCTAAATATCACTGCGGATGAGTAGGGACAGGTAAAGTACAAAAAGGTAAAGTCCCTGTGCTTAACTAATTAAGCATTACGCCATGTAGGCGTGTGGGAGAGTGTATAGATCCACATTTTCTTGACCTCGACACTAAGTGAAGGTGAGTGGTCAGCTACACGCCCCGGCCGCTTTACCCCTGGTACCCATTGGATAGGAGGTTGGGTGGACCCCAGAGCCGGTCTAGACGACGTGGAGAAGAGAGAATTCTTGGCTGTACCGGGAATCAAACTTCAGCCCCTAGGTCGTCCATCCCGTAGGCTAGTCACTACACCGACTATGCTATCCCGGTTCCATTACGTAGGAACAGATATGAGGATAATATTAAAAATTGATTTGAGAAAGAATGGTATTTAGCGATGAATTGGTTTGAACTGGGTCAGGATGAAGTGTAAGGGAGAGATTTCGCGAACACGATAGTGCTCGTTCTGGTTCTATAAAAGTGGGAATTACTTGGTCATCTGAGTAAACAAAACCTGCACCATGTAATTATTTAATTAGAATATTGAGAAGCAAACATTACGGAGTTAATAAAGTAATAGGCTTACATGAATTTCAGTATGACCAACGAACGATTCGGGATAGCTCAGTTACTACAGTGACCGAGTACCGGCTTGACGGCAGAGGTCCGAATCCTGGAAAGGAAAAGGTTATGTCTCTCTGATCCTGTGCCTCTTCCTCTAGCCTTAATTAATCGAGCAAGAAACGCCGTCGGGTCAAGTTACATTGTTGCAGTGTGTTTCATTTCCTCACAGAGACGTAACACAGCTCCACGTGCACAACCCAGCGGCCAAGGACTGTACATAAAGCGAGACCATTACCTCGACCCCACAGAGGCCAATGAGCGCTGAGGTCACTATCGCAAGTCCTGTGCGTGGCATCTCCTGCAGCTTCCTCAGACATCCCGTGTTGTGGATGATGTAACTGATATCCGGAGGTAGAATGGAGCAGAACTCGTCTGTGTCGGTTGGAGGCCTGGACGGACAGCAGGACGCAGGTATGTAGGCGATTGTATCGAGCCATTCCTCCTCCCGATACTTGCCACAGCAACGCAACTGTAATTATTGTCACGAATATGCAGACACAGCTCAAAGTGTGATGTGAAGCTGGGATATTGTGCTAAGTTTAATACTGAATGCTCGAATTAATACAACTTCACGGCATGTAGGGTCTGTATAATGGAACAAACGTGTTATCAACGAGTAAGATTTGAGGTTTTCACTGTGGTGACTATGAAAAATGCCGTCTTCTGGGATGTAACGCCGTGTAGATCTTGGTTGAACTGACGTTTCGGAGGAACGTATCGCCTCCATCTTTAGGGTAGAAAAATCCGCAATCCGTAACCAGAGTGAGTCTGCAGCCACCTGCTCACGCTGGTTCTTCGCTCGCGGATTTTTCTACCCTGAAGATGGAGACGATACGTTCCTCCGAAATGTCGATTCAACCAAGGTCTACACGGTGCCATATCCCAGAAGACGTCATTCTTCATGTTAACAACGAGTTTATACGCCTCAATGCTCTTAATGCCCATTTGTTGGAAATACAAATAAATATGTTTGAAACATCAGATTTGGAGTCTTCTGAAACGTCGGTTTGTAACTCAACATTGACACGGCCGATAGTTCGAGAAGATTTTAGCGTGTTGTTCCGAAGCTAATGACGTAACAGGTGCCATAGAACTCACAGTAAGAAATTTTTTATTCTTCGTTGCGTGTTTGCTGTATATTAAATCGCAGTTATGGCTCTAGGCCTTAATGAGATTTGTACTGTGTGCCATTGAACTAAACTTAAATTCGCCCGACAAATTTTAACGTGAACCTCAAATATCAAATTTATTGTAAATCCATTAAACAGGTATGCAAAATGTGGAAGACGAACGGACAGAGAAGTCCTCCCATTTTAGGGTAACCTGTTTGAAGATATTCCGAAACTCACCTGGAGACACTGAGGAAGAAGACACGACAGGTGATAATCAGGCCGAGATCTTAACCGTCCAATCCTAGAGTGTTATCCTTACAGCGAACTCTTTATATCTATAACTAATTACACGCAGCTGAGCCCTTCTTGAGGAAGGAAAGGGAACTTAACCTGACGTCTGCTTCTTCATTTCAATAAGAATTCCTAGTGCCTTCAACTTTAATTTAAATCCGTTCAAGTCAGAAAGCAACTGATTTGTTTTTAAAATCGAGGCAACTCAGTCGGTAAAGTGAGTGAGTGTGGGGTGGACGACCCGAGTTTGATTTCCGGCAAGAGAAGTGATGCGTGTACTCTGGTTTCTTTCCTTTGTGGCTTCTTTTTGCTAGTTGTTTGTCTGTCACGAATTGACTGTTATGAATTAGCATTGGTGGATAATGTGTTTAACAAGAGGCAGCTTCTTGTCATGCTGTATTCACCTTTCGAGAGCGCTTGTGACTGTAGCGAACTCTGAACGATTCAGTCAACTTGAAAAATGAGGGCACAAAGAGTACATACACTTAGTGTGTGCATTTTGATAGTTACAGCGCAAGATCAGTACTGCAGTATTATGGTGAAACAATACACCAGCTACCTCTGGGCGCTTTCGAACCCAAAATTCTAAAATTTTCCCGTTATGGCGTTGGGAGCATAACATATTATCAATTCTAATATATGTATTACGTATCACAACGTCATATTTACACGTATATCTTGAAGTGCTAATTGCTGTAACCTATCCGAAGGGATAAAAATAGTAGATGTTCAGTTTGAAACAAGCTACTGAGTAATGTTCCATGGAATTAGACTCTTATAAAATTAAAACAAAATAACATAACTATACATAGCTTGGGTTTCTTAATTTTAAATAAAATAGGCCAGTGTTAATTTGCAATTGTAAACATTGATAGCTTGCACATCATAGATTTACCCTGATGATGAGGAACTATAAGATTTGAAACATGTCGCTGTAGATAATTTTTCGTGTTGTATTTCGATGAAAATATACGTGTATATTTGATGCAGCTTAACAATAGAAAAGTAAGGCTCTCAATGCAGAATATATTGCAGTTTATATAGTATACATGGGGGTACGCGGTAGCGTAGTTGGTTGAGGGGCTATACTACAAGCCAGAAGGTCGCGGGTTTAAGTCCCGATGAGGTCATTGGATTTTTTCAGTTGACCTAATCCTTCCAGCCGCACTAGGCCCTGGGGTTTACTCAGCTTCTAACAGAAATGAGTACCAGGAATTAATTAAATAATTTTCCTGTGGAGTAAAGCGCGGCCGGCGCGTAAGGCTGACAACCTTACCGCGCCATCTTTGAGCCGATTGTCTAGATAATGTGGGACCCTCAGCGTCTCACAACCCTATGGGCCTTCACGACCTGGTACAGGGATAGCTTTACTTTTTTTTTTATATATAGTGTACATAATATGAGTACAGTTAATTCATCACCATCGTCATGTTCATTGGCAAAAGAGCCCATTGTTTAGCCATAACCTTCCTTAGATACTGCCAGATTTGTCTATATTAGGCCATTCGGTCTTCTCATCTTTATTTTTCGCAGCAATAATTATTTTACAGAGCGAAATCGTCAGTCTTGCGTTCAACCCCCAACCTGGAGGACCAAGTCTCAGTATTTATGTCCCCCAGTGACAGGGTGGCCCTGCTATACCCCCAGGCACCAGGTTCCGTTGTGTCGTCTTCTATGACTCTGATTGCTGCGTTGGAGGTATTCTAACCCGTCTCCGCAAGAATACACCGCTGATTGGTTAATGGAATCTTCCAGAAAGCATATGTAGGCCTACGTACGAATGCGAGACCCTGATAGATGTGCTGTAGCTTGACGCCGTGTCACTTACAGGCGTAGATGCAGCGTCTCGAAGGATGCCAACCAGTTCACTGGTGAGGTCATCGGTCCCGCGGATCTGTATTAACACACTTCGGCTTCCTTGTCCAGGAACCGAAGAGAGATATGTTTCAACTCTGTGATTTGTAAGGATGCCAAGCGATTGAACTGTTATCAGCATGCGTTATATCAAGATAACGAATGGAGTAGCAGGATTGTATGACTATTTTTCGCGACACAAAGTAATTCCGCGTATCGCTCGGGGAATATAAGTGTATTAACGCAAAAATAATAGAACCTTCATTATTTGAATGTTAATAACGTTATAGTACTTAAACATTTAAATCTGAAGTAATATGAGTTAGACCTAGCTACTATGCGTTTGCGTTGTAGCGTACGATATACGATATTGTGCATATCTCGATCTTTGGAAGTTCGGAGAATAAATGCTGACCTGATACGCGAACGGCACAGTGTCGATTCACAGCAGATGTGTAACTTCTTATATCCATTGCAAAAATAAAGTTCTCTGTTTACAGATAGAAAAATAATAACTTTCTAACCTTGTACATGGTCTACGACTTCTCTTCTTTAATTACTTGAACACAAATTTAATTATTATTTTTTTAATATTAATTTGCATACACTAGAAAGAAAAGAGAATTATTTGGATACACCAATAACAAAAATTAATAAATACAAGAATAAAAAAAGTTTCCCATGCCGGGAATCGAACCCGGGCCTCCTGGGTGAAAGCCAGGTATCCTAGCCACTAGACCACATGGGATGCGGAGAGTTTAAGTATACCACTTGTATTATATTGAACACACAAATCCATAATCTTTGTCGGTTCCATCCTGTTCTTATGATTATGTTCATCAAAACAAAAAACAAACTCTGTGATTTTAGTCCGCAAGCGAACTATAGCGACCGAGCGACCGCCTCTTGTCGGCGAAGTTTAGTGCCAACTTTTGCGGATAGAGGATATGGGTCCATATCATGATAATTAACTTTAAAAACTTGAATTATACCTGATGATGACCTGAATTATATGTCGAAACAGAGAGCGCAAGAAATTTATGCTTATATTAAACGAGTAAGATACATATCAACACCTATTTTTGTCTTCACCCGAAGATATTTCTGCTTTATTGTTGTGCTGACGGTCATAACCGTAAGATACACAATTTCATGCGAGAAGTACGTATTTGTGTAGCACTGACATACCGAAATTCGTGGAACTTAGCCATGTCTTGCATATGACTTTATGTGCTGCAAATAATAATTGTCACATAATAAAATATTGTATATACAATCGGATTTTCAGGAAGAAAACAATTCTTCTAAATTTGACTTGTTTCATTCTGGTCCGTCACTAACAACTTATTTATTAAAATAAGAAAAATCTTCACCAGTCACACTAGAGGGAACTTTTCGCAAGCGCATAAATTGGCCTACGAAGCTATTTTCCATTACTAAATATAAAGCATAAAGAGAGTAAATCAGCCCAACGTTGCAAAAGGTGATATTTCTTTATTCGAAACATTATCTTATACGTGCAGACACCGTTCCCAACCGTACTTCAATTGGTTACGTCGAGTAGCGTATTCCTTGGTTGCGTCACTGTTCATTTTGTCGTAACAGCGGACATGCCACAATACGATACGTCACAGTCGATCTACGGAAAAGGGGTGTCGGAAAATATCTGAGCGTTTTCAAACAGACGCCAGTTTTTAGAACTGCTTCGAGGCTGTAGGACCACCTCTGTGGTCTAGTGGTCATAGTTGCTGGCTACATATCCAGATGTCCGGGTTCGATTCCCGGCGCTACTAGATTTTCTGAGAAGCAGTGGGTCTGGAACGGGGTCCACTCAGCCTCGTGGGGATAATTGAGGAGCTATTTCAAGGAAATAGCGGCCCCGGTCTAGAAAGCCGAGATTAACAACCATGGGGATTCGTTCCGCTGACCACGCGACACCCTCTATCCGCTAAAGTTGGCACTAACTTCGCCGACAAGCGGCGGTCGCTCGGTCGGTATAGTTCACTTGCGGACTCAAGCCACGGAGTTTAGTTTTAAGGGCTGTAGACGCAAACACATCCGTGTAAAAATGCCTGCGCAGAGTTCTCTTTCTTATAATTATTAGTAATTATTTTCAGTAATTCTGTTGGCGGTTGTTGATTCAAATACAGCTTTACTTTTGTGTGCATCGGATCATGCGGGAAATGTTGGATTCAAGTAAATTAAATCCCACTGCTGATAAAATTAATTCCGGTGAATCATAAAACCAAAGTAACCCCTTCTTTGTACGTTCGCTGGAGATGAAGAAACATTCGAGTTATGATGAAATTCTTGTGGCTTTACGGAAGAAGACACTTGTCCCAGAAGAAACAATTCTTCAACGGCTGCTTGTATCAAGCAAAGCTATTTATCAAGTGCATCTTTGGGATATACATCTAATAAGTCTGGACTTTTGCACAAGCTTCTAAGCAAAAGCACAGGTTTCGCAGAGAATACGTCACATAGTGCTGTGTGCTTCGTAACATTGTGCGCGAAAAAACACAACTTCATTTTATACCACACTTTATATGTAAAATTCCCGTTAGATATCTCAGAATCTACACCTCCACAAGCAGGCCGAAGCTTAAATTCTGTTCAAGACCACATCACATATTACTTCCTGAGCAATTAGGGTCATGTACATTGGTAGTAGAATTATCTCATAGATCATAAATGAGAAGAGTGTCACTCGTGCTCTCAATATTGCTTCTATGAATGACCATTCGAATAAAATTGTTTGTATTAATTTTAATGTGGTATTTCTGGTCTAGAAAACCGAGATTAACGGCCGTGGGCATCCGTTGAGCTGACCACGCGACACCCTCTATCCATAAAATTTGGCGCTAACTTCGCCGACAAGCGGCGGTCGCTCGGTCGGTATAGTTCGCTTGCGGACTACAGGTCACGGAGTATTTTGTGTATTTGTATGCTGTCTAAAGACAATATGAACAAAACCAAAACGTTTAAAAATGTCTTATCGCGAAATAGACAGGTACTGCATAAAATAGAATTAATTCATATCTGAAACTTGTGTATGCAGCGAAATACGACTACAAGCAAAGCCAAACACACGCTTATCCCCATTTAATCCTCGACAAGCACCAGGCTCTGCTACATAAGCCCTGCGCAGGGTACAGAACGAGAGATACTAAGAACTGATTTAGATCCGCAATAAACGGCCATCAGTAGGTTACAGGAATAGAAAAGTGTACAAAACCTTTTGTTAATTGTTCTGCTCTCGTTGAGTGATCTTTGAATCACCTGATTTTAAATCGTTGCATATTCCTTCACCGAATTAAACTAAGAAAAATGAGACACACCAGATGCAATAACTAGATCAGTCTAGGTCTGATCATGTTGACCACTTACCTCTTCCTGTACGTAGTCGATATCATGTGGGTTTGTGTCGTAGTTACTCATGTGGTAGTCCATTGTTGCTTCGACTGTCGCATTGAGATTCAACCACATGTTGAAAGCGAGTCCAAACATAACTATTTCTGTCATGTACAGAACTGCCAAAACTGAACTGTACTGAAACATGAAGAACACCGTGAAAATTCTTTGGGGAGATGCAGAAGACGGAAGACAAGGAAGAAGAAAAGAAGGGAGGACGAATAATTTGGCTAGTAGGAAGAAAAGGAAGAAGAGATATAGGCTGAGGCAGAAGTTTAAAAGTAAGATGAAGTTGATATAATTGTAGATTATTTGGAGGTACATAATTATGCTGTTTCAACAGCATATGTTACATCGCATTGAATGAGATAAGGTATGTTCACGATTGATAAATAAGGATTTGGAAGGAAAGGGTAGTGTCATGCTTGAAAATAGTATCATCTCAACCGTTTGGACAAGCTGAGTTTTGAATTTGGCACTTCAGAATGGACTGTCACCGATCTGCTCGGCAGACAAGCAGGGAGACAGACAAGAAGGCGGACAGACAGTGTTGTGTCCCACTAGAGACCGCTGTGAGTACTTCAGGTCCCTGTATGCACCGGCAGAAACAGCGTGGCTGTGTAACACTGTTTACCTCCCTTTGTAGCGATCTGTGCGGCATAGAGCAACGAGGGGTTATCAACCAATCAAAAGAATTGTAGTACGCAAGAAGTACGCAAGGGGCGATGTCGGAAAGAAGTCGTGTTTCTACCAGTCTGTACCCCTCGTGGGGTTGATTCACTGTTAAAAAGCTTTCCTTTCCTTCATCATAATAAACTGTTGTTGCTTGTTACAATTTCGGTTCCGATGTTACTGTCGGCAATGTTTCCAGCAAATTTTATCAGAACCGTGGTTAATGCAGACCAATAACATGGCAGTTTTGTGGGCAGTGGTACAAGCCATTTATGTCCCTGTCGAGCCATTTGGTATTCATTATACTTACAGTGATGAACAGCGAACGTTTGAAGGTTACCGCAGCGCATATTCCAACAGCTGTGAGCGCCATAAAGGCAGAGGAGCTGGTGATTAGGTAGAAAGCCAGCACAGTGACGTAGTCATGCAGGAAAACATTGAAGTGGAACAGGCGCCCTCTGATTGAGAAAGCCACATACATCAATCCAGCCCGCAGCACCTGTAATGTAGTGTTCTGTCAAGTAAACTGTGAAATTAATATTCTGGGACTTACACAAGGAGTATAGCTGTTACGTGGTTGTCACGTGGTTATAATTAATCCACTCAGAGCCAGCGTTACTTTTACCTACGTCTTCTTTCGTTTTGTTTCACAACGTAATTTAATTTTCGGGTGGAATCAATCTCTAGACCGTTTGCTGTTCGGAAAGATTTAATTTGTGAAAGATTTAAATATTCTTTAAAATTGGAAGCCCAAAGGTTCAAGTGAAATTTTGTTGAGAAATCTTAATTTTAAGGTGTTTTTAAGTATTTCAGTTGAGAGGTGGAGGACGGCAGAACTGTGAATGTAGTTGCCAAGTCGCAAGAACACCCGTGTCATGCATGTGACGTCGGTCTTCGGGCAGTCACGTAGAAGCGTTAGGAATTGCAACATCGAAAACTGGAGTGCGAGCCCTCTCTCTCTCTCTATCGGCGTTACAAACCGTCAGTTACTGGAATTCTTGCTCGAGTTCTACAATAGCATGCAGATCATAACTTACATCAGTTTTACTTTATTTGGTTGGAATATTATATTCGATTCTCATCTTAATGGCCGTGAAATGCAATAATACATTAACGCATAAATTGTAACAACTTAGGTTAAAAAATGGGGCACCCCGTAGCGTAATTGGCTGAGGCACTATGCTACAAGCCGGTAGATCCCGGGATCAATTACCGATGAGATCATTGGCCTTTTCAATTGGCATAATCCTTCTACCCACACTATGGCCCTGGGGTCGACTCAGCCTCTAACAGAAATGAGTACCAGGAATCTTCCTGGGGTGTAAAGGGCGGCCGGCGCGTAAGGCTGAGAGTCATACCGCCATCTTTGAGCCGATTGTCTAGAGTAGTGTTCCGCAACCTTTTTCTACTCGCGGCACACCATTAAGTATCCATGACTCAACAAGGCACACCAAAATGTTAATCCCCTCAAAAACGCATGATATCAGACAATTAATATAAATACGTAACATCATCATCATCATCATC